AAGAACCAAGGTGCGACTGTAAATCCTGAGTGTGAGGAATGAGATGGGTCAGAACATACCGAGCTGAAATAAATTCAGGTGGCTTTGTTTATTTAACGAATTGTTTGTTCCCCTACTTCATTTTTCAACCCTCAAGGGGTCCCCAAGGCAGTTTGCAATACAGTCATACCTCATGTTACATTTGCTTCATGTTACATTCTTTCAGGTTATATCCCACGGTGACCCGGAAGTACTAGAAAGGGTTACTTCCGCGTTTCGCCGCTCGCACATGCGCAGAAGTGCTACATCACGCTTCGCACCTGCGCACAGGCACCAAATCGTGCCACGCACCTGCGCAGATACAGTGCTTCAGGTTGCACTCTTTTCCTATTGCGAATGGGCCTCCGGAATGGATCCCATTCGCAACCAAAGGTACCACTGTATGCATTAACACATAACAATTGAGCTGTATACACACCATACATTTGAAGCATGCGGGAAATATAGTGTACCCCTCACAGAGCTACTGTTCCCGGACCCTTTAAAAGCTTCAGTTCCCAGGATTCTTTGGGGGAATGCTATGTACATGGTGCATGGTATGTACACAAAGTACACAGTAACTGATAAATAGAAACAGAGAGCTAATACTAAATCCAACTCTATGAGCGAAAGAGGTTTACATACCTTCCAACATTTCCCCAATGAAAATAGGGCCGTCCTATTCAATTGTTGTTGTTGTTGTTTAGTCGTTTAGTCGTGTCAGACTCTTCGTGACCACATGTACCAGAGCACGCCAGGCACTTCTGTCTTCCACTGCCTCCCGCAGTTTAGTCAAACTCATGCTGGTAGCTTCAAGAACACTGTCCCACCATCTCATCCTCTGTCATCCCCTTCTCCTTGTGCCCTCCATCTTTCCCAGCATCAGGGTCTTTTCCAGGGAGTCTTCTCTTCTCATGAGGTGGCCAAAGTATTGGAGCCTCAGCTTCACGATCTGTCCTTCCAGTGAGCACTCGGCTGATTTCCTTAAGAATGGATATGTTTGATCTTCTTGCAGCCCATGAGACTCTCAAGAGTCTCCTCCACCACCATAATTCAAAAGCATCAATTCTTCGGCGATCGGCCTTCTTTATGGTCCAGCTCTCACTTCCATACATCACTACTGGGGAAACCATAGCTTTAACTATACGGACCTTTGTTGGCAAGGTGATGTCTTTGCTTTTTAAGATGCTGTCTAGATTTGCCAATTGAAAGTACTTAACCTAAAATGGCTCAGGACTGCAATACCTCAAGGACCGCCTCTCCCCATATGAACCAACCCAGACCCTGTGATCATCATCTGAGGCTCTGCTTCACGTGCCTCCTCTGTGAGAGGTCTGGAGGGTGGCAACCTGAGAACGGGTCTTTTCTGTGTTGGCTCCTGGTGCCTTCATTACATATCTTTAGGTGCCAGGAAAAAAACATGCCTCTTCACCTAGGCCTTTCACTAATTAAACTATCATGGAAGACTTTGGACTGTGCCCAACAAAATGCACTCACCTCTTTGCTCGCTTGTTTTGCCACAAGACCACAGAAATATCAGCTCCCAACTGCAAATGGTATGGCAATTGACCCTGCCAAGGACACCCGTCCCTGAGTTTAGCAATTAGCCAAAGCTGCAAACATTATCCAAACATTCTAAAGAGGAATTTTAAACATTCCTTTGCCCTTTGAAGTTTGGGTGTCCCCTCCAAATGCCTCCCCACCCACCTACATTTCTTGCTGAATGACAATGCTTGTGGAAGATGAATATAGAGAGGGATTGTGTTGTGGATACAGGAGGCTGCATTCGTTTCCCCCTTTGATCATGCTCTGGATGGAAAAATTCAGATTCCCAGGCTTGAACAAATCGCACAGGCTAGCCAAAGCGTGGTTTTTCTGACAGCTAAACAAGCAACTTCTTGTCTGTCTTCCTGGCTACAGGGCTAAGGGCTAAGAAAAAGCCAACTCTGTGTTAATGAGAAGGAAAATAGAGGGTTATTAAACGAGTGTTTCATTTTTCAAAAGGTTTAAAATGAATTGCTTGGATTTAATCAAACTGTAGAAACTCCTAAATATAAGAGCTGTAGTGTGCCCTTTCCTGAAATGTCCCTACCCCCCAATTTCCCAGGCTAAATAAGTAAAGAACCTATTTGCAAACCATTTTGCAAATTTGAACTTCATTGACAGATGTCTGATATGTGAAAATGGAAGCTAATGCTTTAAAAAAATCCTTAGAAAATCATTCTTTGTTTTTGTGTTCTGAAACCCCTGCAGCACTTCCAAGAGTTAGGGCCAAACAACAGGTTACATTATTAATGCTTTAATGGTTTTTTTTTTTTAAAAGCATGTAGAGTTGGAAGGGACCCTGAGGATCATCTAGTCCAACCCGCTGCAATGTAGGAATATGCAGCTGGATCGAACCTGCAACCTTGGCATTGTCAGCACCATGCTCTAACCAACTAAGCTATCCAGATGTCCAGCTGGCTGCTTTGAAGAAAAAGCTGCCATGAGGCCCCTATCCAGAAAGAGATTTTGCTCCAAATCAGGCCCAGCATTGGCTTCCTGCTGGGTTTTCTCTGTACATGACTATTTGCCCTTGAATACGCTGCCAGCCACAGGACAATTTCCTGCAGGAAACGGGCATGGGCTCCCAACTTGGATCAAGGACACTTTATGGATCAGGACCCCATGCCTGCTTTTTATTCAAAATGCAAGTGACCAGTTTAGGCACACTTTTTTAAAAGAAAAAGAAACCATGGATGATGTCAGCATGTAATTTCACCCTAAGGTATTGCTGTAAGAAGAAAATGCCCTGTTTGCTTACCTGAGCAGGCAGCATAGGCGCCGACTCCATGGGGCTTGAGGGGGCCCGAGCCCCCTCAAAAATTCGTTTGGGGGGGCTCCGCCCCCCCAATAATCTCCGGCGCCCCTCCAGCAGAGCGCCATCGCCGCCCCTCCCCCAGCCCAAAATGCACAGGGAGGGGCGGGCTGCATGCCTCCTGCCCTCCCTCCCGAGCAAAAGCTCCACCCAATTTCCTTTGGAGCTGATTAATAGGCGCAGCACGCTCTCCCCTATTCGCTCACGAGGAGGCGGCGCCACTTTATTTGCATATTCATGAGCTTATTTATTATTCATGAGCTTTCCCGGGCCCCCCCAATATTTTTTATAAGTCCGCGTCCCTGGCAGGCAGCATATAACCACAGCATATAACTATAATGTGCAAGTCAGAGAATTCAGAATTAATCCCAACCCCACCCATCTACCTCTGCCTTTATCCTTATATACCACAGCCTTTTCTTTGTCAGCTTTGCTGTACAGTTCAAGCAGTGCCGCCACCTTTTGGCAGGTATAGCTTGCCTGCATGCTCCAGCAGGGTGAGATCTGGGCACAGAAGCATCCTTCTGCATAAAGAGCCAGGGCCAGGTGTGTCTTTGGATGGACTTGGACATGCATGTGAGACTCGAGGGCCACCAACTGTTAACTGCAACCAGAGCAGAAGCAGGATTCTGTGGCAAGCAGAAGCCTCACACCTGCTAGAGATGCAATGCTAAGGAAAGCCTGATCTGTCAACTTGATTCGCCGTTCTTAAAATCACTGGAGCCCTACTAGTGGTGGGTAGGTGTAAGATGAATGATCTGTCATTTAATTCCCTGCTCCTGCCAGCCTAGCAGTTCGAAAGCACGTCAAATTGCAAGTAGATAAATAGGTACCGCTCCGGCAGGAAGATAAACGGTGTTTCCGTGCGCTGCTCTGGTTTGCCAGAAGTGGCTTAGTCATGCTGGCCACATGACCCAGAAGCTGTACGCCGGCTCCCTCGGCCTGTAAAGCGAGATAAGCACCGCAACCCCAGAGTCATTTGCAACTGGACCTAATGGTCAGGGGTCCCTTTACCTTTACCTTTTACCCCTCAACTGCCCCAACTAAATCGGGAAATCTTGTTTTGGCGCACTGTGGTCTCGTGCGGGAGCACGGCCAGGAAGATGCACGTCCCAGTTTTCGGTCTGAACTGGTTGGAGGACATGGCATGGCATCTAACACAAGAGTGTTCCCAGATATTTTTGTCTTCAAAAGAAGTCGGGGGGCAGGAAGGTGGTAACAAGGGCCACCCACTAGTCATGCACTGTCCAGTTTCCAGTGGAGAGGTTTAATATCAAACGGATGCATGAGGGGTGGGGGTAAAGGTAAAGGGACCCCTGACCATTAGGTCCAGTCGTGGCCGACTCTGGGGTTGCGGCGCTCATCTCGCTTTATTGGCTGAGGGAGCCGGCATACAGCTTCCGGGTTTTCTGGCCAGCATGACTAAGCCGCTTCTGGCGAACCAGAGCAGCGCATGGAAACAGCATTTACCTTCCCGCCGGAGCGGTACCTATTTATCTACTTGCACTTTGACGTGTTTTCAAACTGCTAGGTTGGCAGGAGCAGGGACCAAGCAACAGGAGCTCACCCCGTCATGGGGATTCGAACCGCCAACCTTCTGATTGGCAAGTCCTAGGCTCTGTTGTTTAACCCACAGTGCCACCCGCATCCCAGAGGTTTAATATCAAACAGATGCATGAGAGGTGGGGGTAAACAGGTGCAAAAAAAGCTATTTCATGTGATAATATTGTGTGATGCATGTGCAAGGCCCATAATGTGGAAGCACCAAAAAAGTGCAGCCTTATGCACACCAGCTTGGGGTTTTCAGTCCCTTTAAACACAGTGGGGATTGTTTCATGCTTAGGATCATGCTGCAAGCAGAGGTGCAAAAGCTCCAGATTTTGCTGCTCTACAACTCCCATCATCCCTAATGCTGCTGCCTGGGACTGATAGGAGTTGGGGGTTTAGCAATATGGGGAGGCACAGATTGCCCACCCCACCCCTCCGTAAGGTATGTTACCCATAACCTGCATACTAGGATACATTTGAGGAGGATCCAGCAATTGCAGCAATTGTTTTATTTATTGTTTTAGAGGTACACAAGCAGCTGCTAGGAGCACATTCCCCGGCGGTATGTTGAGTGAACATTTCAACAAAAGACAAAGACAAACGACAGATAAAGTGGGCCAGTTCAGTGGCTGTCCTTCCTAAGAATCTAAAGTATGTAACTGCTTTGAATGTGCTGCCTAGACCAGTGGAATTGGCAGGAACTCACCAATGCTTCTGGCATCAACTGCAGAGTTTGCTTGGTCCACTTAGAGAAAGCTGCTGTCCTTTTTCCCACTCCGTGCTGGCAAAGGGCAGGTGAGTATAGTATTAGCTTTTGACATTATCTTCCTCCTACCTGTACTTCAGGTTCTGTGTAGTCAGAAGCATCAGATGTCAGTGGGAGACCAGCATTTAGCAAATTTTTCAGCTGCCACCTCTTTCTTTTGTCTTTCATTTGTCACCAGGTCTACTGGGCTCTTGAAGTGCAAACTACTGTGGACTCCTTTCTCCTAATATAGGGAGGTGGTGGGTTCATAGGCGCCGACTCCATGGGGCCTGAGGGGGCCCGAGCCCCCTCAAAAATTCGTTTGGGGGGGCTCTGCCCCCCCAATAATTTAAAAAAATTATTAGTTCGGCCTCATTACGCCCCCCCCGGCGATTCTCTGCCAGCCGCTTCATTCCGCTTCCACGCGCCTCGGATAGAAGGTGACGCGCGCCGCTACCTTCTGTTGCCTCCGTCACTTCCCGGCTTCGTCTCCCTTCATCCCCGCCCACTCTTGGTTCTTCGGCGCTCCTGCTCGGCCGGCAACAGCGGAGACTGCGACCCGCTCTGAACCGGCACTCTCCAGGCGTGAAAAACCCGCGAGGGGGTCTTCCCATCCGCCGCCCGGAGCTGCGCGCAGCTTCTCTGCTGGAAGCGCAAAGTCGCCGAGGGGATGGAGCACAGGAAAAGCAGGAGGAGGAGACTGGAGGCGCCCAAAATAAAACTGTAACGACATTCAGCACTCCACCTCCCCGGTGGGATCCCGCACGGGCGGCCGGGCAAACGACAAGCCGAGGGAGAAAGTCTGCCTTTCAGCCCCGGCTGACTGACAGCGGGTTCAAAGCGCAGTCGCCGCTCCGGCTTTCTCTGCACCGGCCGCGCCCACCCCCCGCCAGCCTAGTTGGCTCCACCCTCCCCGGTATGGCCCCCCCCCAATATTTTTTATAAGTCGGCGCCCCTGGGTGGGTTCCCCCTCTATATGACCAGTCAACTCACAGCTGAGTACCTGCATGAACCAGGCCCACCAACAAAAGACTGAGCTAAAAGCCAGCAAGAGGAGAAAGGCATTTGGAGGTTTCTGCTTCTTTGATACACAAAGGGAATGACATGAACACACATTCAAGTACACAGGCAGCTGGAGAATGTGATTCTCCTCCATCACCCCTCCACCTCCCTAGCCCTTAAAAATATTAACTCTGTCTGGTTTAACTGACAGATGTTATAAATGTAGCCAATTTCTGTCACACACCCATCTTTCATTATTTCATCTGATCCATTTTTAAAGACAGCTAAGCCTAAAAGCCATCACCATAACTTGTGTCGGTGCCAATGAATTCCATAAATTAATCCATGGATTGTGTGAAGAAGTTCTGTCTTTTGTCTGTTCTGCAGGGATGTTGCTAGATGTTTAGAAGACATGAGGCGCCGTCCCAGATGACATACATTTACAGGTATATGTACAGATGTCAATTTAAGTTGAATTCAGTTGACAAACTCTAGCCCTTGTTGCCAGGGTTTACTCTGAGCTATGGGATGCCAGCAGGATTTTCTGGGTACACTGCCAAAAAACTGCTACTTATATGTATATTAAAACTAAAAATTTCAACATAAAACATTATCTTTCTATCTATCACATTTATATCCTGCCTATCCCATGGCATACATGTTTCTCTTCCTCCCCATTAACAACCCTGTGAGATAGGTTAGACTGAGAAACCAGCCCAAGCTCACCCAGTGATCTTCATGGCCAGCCCCATGAGGCACCGGGGTGAAACCACCACCATTCCTGCCAAGGGAGTGATGTTTGGCTAGTGATACATCATGATGTTGAATAGCACATATTGCCCAGCCCTAGTCAGTACCATCCAGGGGACAAGGGTGGCACTGTAGTCTAAACCACTGAGCCTCTTGGACTTGCCGATCAGAAGGTTGGTGGTTCGAATCCCCACAATGGGGTGAGCTCCCGTTGCTCTGTCCCAGTTTCTGCCAACCTAGCAGTTCAAAAGCACATCAGTGCAAGTAGATAAATAGGTACCGCTGCAGCGGGAAGGTAAACAGCGTTTCCGTGCGCTCTGGTTTCCATCACGGTGTTTCGTTGCGCCAGAAGCAGTTTAGTCATGCTGGCCATATGACCCGGAAAGCTGTCTGTGGACAAATGCCGGCTCCCTCGGTCTGAAAAGCAAGATGAGCGCCACAACCCCATAGTCACATTTGACTGGACTTAACTGTCCAGGGGGGGGATGCGGGTAGCGCTGTGGGTTAAACCACAGAGCCTAGGACTTGCTGATCAGAATGTTGGTGGTTCGAATCCCCGCGACGGGGTGAGCTCCTGTTGTTCGGTCCCTGCTCCTGCCCACCTAGCAGTTCGAAAACACGTCAAAGTGCAAGTAGATAAATAGGTACCGCTCCAGCAGGAAGGTAAATGGTGTTTCCGTGCGCTGCTCTGGTTCACCAGAAGAGGCTTAGTCATGCTGGCCACATGACCCGGAAGCTGTACGCCGGCTCCCTCGACCAATAAAGCGAGATGAGCGCCGCAACCCCAGAGTCGGCCACGACTGGACCTAATGGTCAGGGGTCCCTTTACCTTTACCTAACTGTCCAGGGGTGCTTTGACTACCATCCACACAAGATCTGTAGCAACTACAGACCAACACAATCTGTGCTACATCTAGAACACAATTTAAGGCAGTGAGCATGGCATACTGAAAAAACAACAGATGTTGCAGTGCCTCTCTAATATGGAAAAGACCTTCTGTGTATTCCCAGAAACACACACACACACACTGTGGTTGCTGCTTCATCCATTCCAGAGCAATTGGGACTGAGTGGTGTAGCAGTTAGAACAAGCATTGAGGAGTCCTTGGTTTCATCCACCTCCAGCCATTAAGCTCTTGAGTGACCTTGGGCCTGCGCGCAATCCATCTCACGTATTGGGGAAATAAAATGGGGGGGGGAGAGTTAAGGTCCTTGGAGGAAGGTTGGGATAAAAATGTAATAAACAAGACGGCTGAAATTAAGCCCCAAGAGCAGATGATTCCATGAATTTTGGTATTGGGAGATGAGGATTGCAAGACGATCAGGCCTCGTTTTATCTCTCTCGCTGCCGCTATGTAATCGTCTAGCGCAGTCCCTCTGGGCTGTACCTGATGCCACAGGAAGCCGCTTAGTTAGCTACACTCTTAGCCTGCCAAAGAGAAGAAACCTCAGAACAAATCTGTTTTGTCTAACCCTATTCCCTTGAGTGCCGCCACTCTCCACACGCTCGCCTCCCAGACATGCCGTTTCCAATTAGGTTTAATTCTACATGAAATAAAATGCATTACATGTCGCAAGCTATTGCCAGTGCGGAGCTAAGGTTTCTTTCTGTCTCCCCGCCTCTCAAGGGTATGTGAACCAAAGCACATGATCTAGTAGCAGCTCCAGGGGTCTCCTGACTGCCTTTAAGATGTCACGGAGTCCAGGGGCTTAGCAAGGTTTTTAAAAAGAAAGAAAAAGAAAGATAGGTGGTGTGGACTGGATACTGAACACATCCAGCATTTGATAGAAGGATTACTATCGAAGTTTGCAGCTGATCTCATATATTCTTGGTCAGTTTGGGCCACATCCACACCATACGTTTAAAACACTTTGATACCGTTTACACAGTCATGGCTTCCCTCAAAGAACCCTGGGAGCTGTAGTTTGTTAAAAGTGCTGAGAGTTGTTAGATGACCCCTGTTCCCCTCACTGAGCTCCCACCCCAAGAGTTCCCTGTGAAGAGGGATTGATTTTTAAACCACTCTGGGAATTGTCGCTCGGGGGGGGGGGTATAGGGGTCACATAGCAACTCTTAGCACCCTTAACAAACTACAGCTCCCAGGGTTCTTTGGGAGAATCCATGGCTGTTTAAAGTGGCATCATAGGGCTTTAAACATATGGTGTGACTCTGGCCTCAGATCCCTTAGCTGTATTGAAACCGAGCAAGCCAGGAATACTCTTTTTCCCAAGGATAGCCACAGATGCCTAGTTTCATTTTCTACAATAAGCTTCTGAAACATTTGATGTTCTCCTGGTCAAATGGAGAAAGGAGACTGCTAATGTGCTATTTATTCTCTCAATTGGAATGGAAAGCACATACTACTCATCTCTGGAAATGTGTCACTGCAGAGTATGGAAAATAACAGGGTATCTTCAGCAGCAGGCTAGCTTATGGGCTCAGGTTGGGGGACTGTTGCTCATTCCTGTCATGCCTCAGCCTGGGGACTCCTCATCAAAGGAGAAGTAGGAGGTTAAGTCCTGGATCAGGCCCCATTTGGGGGTGAAGTGTCAGGATCCTGGGAGGAGGCTGAGAAGAGGCTGATTGGAACAGTCTGTGTGAACTAACTCTGTCCAAGAGGATTGGCTGACTGACTCTTGTTTGGCCCTTGCTTGCTTGGGCCAGATAGTGCTCTGGTTACTGTCCCATGGGCGTGGCTGCTGGCAAGCCCCTGGCTTACTCTGGTGCCAAGGGAGGACAGGGCAGTTCCAAAACATCCACCTCCAGAGGCTAAGTGGATCACTCTTGTTCTGTTCTGTTCTGTTCTGTTGTTGGAGGACGTAAGTCTTTGAATATCATTTGTGGGAACTGCAGGTGTGGAGAGCACTGCTGTGCTCAGGTTCTGCTTCCATAGATAGGCATGTGTTTGGCCACTGCTTGAACAGAGTGCTGAACTAGGTGGTCCCGCAATGGCCATTGAGCAGGGCTTTTAATAGCAGAGTTGGCCATTGGTGCAAACAGCACAAGTCCTCACATTGGCTCTCTTAAATTATATTTTTTAATCACACTGGTAGTCCTCTCATGGCACGAGAACTGTGGTGTCTCCTCTTCTGCTACAGCAGACTGGAAGAGAGTGACAATGGGGTGTTAAATAAGTTTGGGTGGACAAACAGATCCCACTCATGTAATGCTGTCTCTTCTGTCTGGAGAGGGATGAAGGCTGTTTCCTTGCCCTCCTTTATTTCCTCCTGATATCAAACCAATTCCTCAGTTGTCCTCAGATTAGTACAGTACTTAAATCCATTTAATTACCATGATGAATTACACAGCTGCCATTGATCTCCTTGTTCTTACTCGCCCTGAGTACTAATGGGATGTTAATTTTGCCTTTTAAAAGTACAAAGTCTGATGTGGATTTTCTATTTACGCATGTTAATAGCTCTGTCAAAAGGAATCCAGGACTGGCAGTACATGACTAATTGGCCAGTTTGTTTTACTGTCCTCCTTGGTGAGGCTGATAGCATTTCCCCACCCTCTGGCAGAATGCAAATCAAATCTGCTATCAGCAGAAAAGGAAGGTCTGAATACTATTTAGCAGGGGCAAGGGTGGGGGAGAGAAGAGGAAGAAGATATAAGGGTTCGAACAGGAGCAGGAAAGCTGCTCCTATTATTGTCTGCAAGCAGTTCAGTCATTTGGGGTGGGGGGGGAGAGAGCTTAACAGGGGAGGGGCAGAGAAGGGATTTAATGAGCTGTGTTGAGCAGCGAAAGAATTACTGGGTAATTAACTCCCAGAAGATCTTATTGATGCTTCAGCAGTGAACCTGCAAGGGGGAGATGCTTCCATCTCCATCTGAATTAAACTTTAATTTGGTGTCAAAGGGCAATGGAAAGCCCTGAATTATAAAGCAAAGAAATCAATGAACTGTGTGAGGGAAAGGGTCACACAGCTCCCCACCTCAGCCCCCTTCCTGGCTCCTTTCCGCAGAGGTTGCCGATGGCCAATTTGGAGATAGAGCTATGCTTTTATGTTCATACTCAGAGGCCCTTTGCCGGAAGTATTGACTTCTGCAGAAGTTCAGCTTTGAATCGCCTAATTTACCATATGCTTCTTCTCTCCTGCATTCCTCGTCCATGTTGCCTCCCCATTCAGACTCCTGATAGCTCCAGCCAAGTCCTCTCCTGCCATCCTAGGTAAGAATGCATGTTTGTACTTTACCCTAATGAGCATCCTTCAGTCCTGAAATGTGAATCTAAACTGACTGGGCCAAGGGGGCCTGAAGGACTGCCATCTACCGCATGTAGCTAGAGTGGCATTGTGCCCAGCTTCATAGGGGAACAGTCCAACTGGTTCAAGTCCATTTGAAAAATAAAGCGCCTTAAGGTGGGAGAGCAGCAGGGACCTTGCCCATCAACAGCACCGGGCAGACAACACAGGGTCTTTACCCATTTAGGTGAAAAGTATTATATTTCTATTTAAATTATGGAAATTATTTTGAAATCTGAAACTATCCGCATGAATTAACTTATGCCCATTGTATACAAATATACAATGACCTTTTGACCTGCATAAATGGCAATCATAGCCTGATTTGGAGTTCTCACTAGGGGGGATATGTGTCAGCAGTGGATGTCAGGAATAAATCACATGGAGTAAGTGAAATGAACTCTTTATTGGACGGAAGCAAGGTCAGCTCAAGAGTGCCAGGCCTAATGGGCACAGCAACTCTTCATAGTAGGTTTTGCCCTTATTGTTGTGGAGGCTGAAGGTCCCCACCTTCCCACAGTAAACTTCAGGTTGCGAACGTGGCAAACCCAGAAGTGTATACTGCCGGGTTTCACCGCATGCGCAGAAGTGCTGTGTCGCACCGCACATGTGCACAGAAGCAGCATTCCAGATACAGACTTTTCAGGTTGCAGGTGGGCCCCCGGAACGAATTAAATTCATATCCAGAGGGTCCACTGTACTTCCCAAGCAATCTGAGACTTCACTAATGCAGCTGTCTGTGCTCCTCTCTCTTCACACTTCTTCTCAGGGGGGACTAGAGGGGAGAGGAGCTTGTTGCAGCAGCAGCAGGAGTCGTCCCTCTGGCTTCTTCACCAGCCTGACTCATCCCTGCCTCTTGGCCTCCCTCCTCTTCTGCTTCAGCTTCTGATTCTGGACTTCTCTCTGACACAAACTCTCCCCACTCACTAAAATCTGATACCTCTCCAGCTTCCCACACACCCTCCTCCCAGGCTTCTCCCTCTGACCACCAATCCCTGGGCTCTGAGCCTTCTTCCCTTGAGGATTCCCCAGCTGGTACCTCTCACCATTCTTCTGTATCCATGACAACGAGATGCTATTGGCAAGTGACAGTATAAGAGATGTTATAGTCCAAAACATCTGAGGACGCCATTCTCCCCTTCTCTGTGTTCTAGAATTCATTCTTGTAAATTGGGTTCTTCCACCTAATAAGAGAATAATTTGTGGCCTTGGAGTGTGAACTCTTTTGAGAATGGGAGGCAACTGAAAGGGAGCCATTTTCCATTTCAGAAACCATTTCAGACAGTGCTAGTGAGCATAAATTAGAGTCCTCTTCAATGAACATCTATTAGAGAAATGTTGAGTTTCCAGCTCAGCTAGCGAGAAGTGCCAATGGGTTTGGTATTAAGATCGGGAAGGAAATTAATGTGAATGCACACAGAATTCAGCCAGCAGCAAGAAGATACATAACTGTATTTCCAAAGCGTTTACTTTAAGCAATCAAGCACATTTGAAGATGTTTCCATTTGACGGGTCTTTTTAATTGCTCTTTTACTGAATGTGTCCACGTAGGGTGAAGGAAGGTTACAAAGCATTGTTCACAACAAACATTTCCCCACAGTTTACAGTCATCACTGTTTATCTACGGAGGTCGACACAACCCAACTGGGGGTTTTTTTGTACCCATTTACAAACACAAATCTTATGGCAATGAAACCAGGACGGAAGCCCAAATGTTATGCCCCCACATATTTGTTTCAGGGATGGTTTCAGCTGCTTTGGAAAGTTTGGATTTGAAAGTTATCTAGTGAGAGACACACCACAACTTCATGTCTGCGCATTGCTGCTAGTAATACCTAACAAGATGGGTCATTGTGAGTGCATGGAAGTAATTGTGTGCAGCTGGGGCAGGGGGAGCAAAGAATCGCACTAAAAAGCAAATTAGTGTAGCATGTTCACCATTTCTGTGTGGCCAATTGTAAACTTCCAGAAAACCACATGCAGCTTTTCCCAGATGCCAAATGAAGAGGAACTAGAAGTGGGCATTATAATACAACTCAGTTCCTGTTGTTACTTAGTGACCTGCTGAATGGCCAGCAAAGAATTGCAACCTGATCCTAACCATATACATTCAGTGGCAAGTCCCATTGGTTTCAGTGAGTTTAATCTCTCAGGTTAATATACTGCATTGAGAATCTCAACCTTGCCAACCAATGCCACCTCTGGAGGGTTTTGCTCAGCTTCACATATTGCTTCCAATAACTTGGGGAGGGTCGATAATAACCAAGTTTGAATCCCTTGTAGGCTTCCTTTCCTTTACAAACTAATATACAGGGACATCAAAAAATTCCCAGACAGTATTGTGACAACCTTATTCAGGATATTCCCAAGGCGATATACACCAGCTGGAATGTAATGGGGCACTGACAGCAATTTGAAGCTGCCCTATGGCAGGCCTCCTACAGATAATTGTTGTGCAAATGTCGTTTGGCTTCCCTGAAGGCATGAGTTGCCATTGAATGCTGTTCTCTCCACTGGCATGGAGGGGTGCAGTTTGCACTGCAGCTGCCCCACTCCAAGCAAATTAATTCTATTATTCCCTTTACAGGCATGGCAAACTCAGCGAGGTTTGGAATTAAAATGGGTTTCATGCAAGGCACTGTTAATGCTTTAGCTTGTTTCTAGAACAGCAGAAAAGAGCACACACAATACATTCAAAACTCTGCAAGGGATTTAAGGCGATAGCCAGTGTTGTGTGAGATGACTTACCCTTCCGCCCCTCCACCCACCTGCAACATTAGGACCACTGGGACTGGAAAACAGGACACATGTCCTGGTCCCCACCACCCTTTGGTCACCTCCAAATGGCAGTGCACCAACTGCAACCATCTGCAACTCTTTCAAAAAACAAGACCAGAACTTGCCTGTCTGTCAACTGTGAGGTGGAGACTTAGTGGGCCTGGTCTGGCTCCCAGCTCTCCCAAAGTGTTGTGTCTCCCGCTCTCCCAAGTGGCAGTGACCAGGTCACACTGAAGGACAGCCTGTACCTGCTTCCATTTCCCTCCCTCCCTCCGTGTGTGTGTGTGTGAGAGAGAGAGAGAGAGAGAGAGAGAGCGCGCAGGCGTAGAGAGAGGGTATTGATCAGGCATAGGCAAACTCCGGCCCTCCAGATGTTGGGGACTACAATTCCCATCATCCCTGACCACTGGTCCTGTTAGCTAGGGATGATGGGAATTGTAGTCCCAAACATCTGGAGGGTCAGAGTTTGCCTATGCCTGGTATTGATGAAGACATGAAGAACTTTGATGATGATGACAATGATGCAGTGCCTCTCCATCCTCCCAAGGTCTGAAGATGTGGTGAGTGGAGTGGACAACAGGAAGAAAGCCAGAGAGCAAGGAGAGAGAAAGTGGCAGGACCTGCTGCAAAGAAACCAGGCAAGAGTAGAAGAACGGAGCTGATCTTGGTGGGTGGAACAGGAGAAAAAAGCATGTATAAGAGTGCACTGCAAAAACTGTTATTCGTTTATTTGTTACATTTATACAATGCCCTGCTTCTCTTTCAATGAGCCAAGGACAGTTCACCAGGTCCTTCCCCCACCTGGAGCCTGCCTACTTTATATCTTCACAACAGCCCTGTAAGGTAGGTTGGGATAAACATAGCGAGTGAACAAAAGGAGTGAGTATTTGAACTCAGATCTCCCAATCCTAGACCAACACTCTAGCCATTATGCCACACTGGTTCCCGTCCATCCCTCCAACTCTGTGCAAGTTACAATTCTGGGCACACCTCCTTCACGGGCAGAGGATTCTGTAAGCTTTTAAGAGGACACAAAATGCTTAGGAATTTGTGGCGGGAGTGCAGGAGGGCATAACACCAGAAGTGCCATAGAAAAAATGTTCAGTGCAGCACATCAGGAATTAAGTTCAAGCAAGGTTTATTATGCATCAGATAAACAGTCCAAAAAGATGTGCTGGTCTGACTTCATTCAAATTGCTCTTTAAAATGTTGCTGCTGCTTCTTTCCACCCCAACATGGTAGATATTGGTGCTTCGGGTGCATTCAATGAGAAGATGCTCCTGCTGTTAGGACAGGAGCGAGTTCAAAAGGCTGGCACATTAAGCCATAGGTATGCTCAGAGCATGAATGTTCCATGCCACCCTCAAAAAACCCTGGCATTTCTCCCTCTTCTCTTGTGTGGGCACATCCCCACCACGTGAAGAGTCTGTGCTGTAGGGTCCTGCCTTCACCAAGCCTCATGCCTTCTGCTTTCTAGACTCTGGCTGGTTCAGACGCCAGTCCTTTCAAAGGCTAGATCTCCCCGATAATCTTTGTTTTGGCTCCTCATCCTTTTGACATATCCTTTGGATTTGGCTTCAGGCACCTGACGCATGATCTCCTGCTTTCCTGCCTGCCATCATCGTTCCTGTTTTAGTGTTGGCTGCTCCAACTGCCTCTGCCTTTCTCATTCTGGCATTGGGTCTGAAAGGTGTGTCAAAGCCTGGTGCTCGCCTTAATCCTCCCCCTCCATTTTGTTGTGACCTACTTTTTGCCTTGGCAGCTCAGGCAAGCCAACGAGGACTTGCATTTCTCTGTATGTTGTCTGCACATGTGTTGGATCACCTCTTCCTCTCAATAGCTTAATCTGTCTAGGCAGAACAGGTACTTTTGAAAAACTGAGAAGAGAGAGGGAAGCTTCAATATTTCACCTCAGAGAAAACCACCCAAATGTCAATCTGTTTCTTATTGCAATTGTTAAATGTGTGTCCTGTCTTTTTACCAAATTGTGCTCAGAAAATGCAGTGGGCTTGGGATTCAGGCTTGGCTGCCTTGTTCAGATAAAGTGGCAGAGAAGTCCTCTCCCTCGCAACCCACCCTGATTTCCTATGAGATAAAATGATGTTATACTGCACTAGGTTTGGGCTATAGCTGAATAAGATTGTGGGGGGAGAAGGAAGATGCCAGAGGCAGGAAATCTTTTTCCTCAGGCCAGATCCTTATCTTCCCACCCCTACAAGGCCAAATTTGACAGGTGTTCAGGGCTACCCACCTCTCGATCACCTGACATCATTGTGATGTAAGGTGATGTTGTGCTTTGAAGCCCCAACTGCTGGGTCTTCAAAGGGCAGCATAAAGCTGTCTGAAGCCCCTTTTGAATGTGGAGGTTTGAAGAGTAGCATGAGGTTGTTTGCAAAAGGGCTTTCAAACAGCTTCACATTGAGCTTTGGCTATGCATGTCTGTTTTCAACAGGGAAACAGGTTTGTGCAGCCAAAGTGAGCAGGATTTAACCCCACCACACATCGACTGATGAGCAGTGGTTAAATCCTGCTGCTTTGGCTGCATACACCATTTCCCAGCAGGGGAACTGGTGCATGCAGCCAATGCAGAATCAACCCCTCCGCCTTCCCACCAGCTGATGTCAGCCTCCCCCATTGGAGTGAGATCAGCTGACTGGCAGGTGGGTGTAGGGTGTGATTTTGGCTTTTTGAATGGCCTCCTGGGCCTAATTTGACCCCCTTGTGGTCCAAGATTAGCCCATGGGGTGAAGATTTGGCACCCGTATAGCAAGAAGGGAATAAGGAAGGGGATATAGAGTAAATAAGTGAAGTATGAAGCAAGTGTAAAGGTAAAGGGACCCCTGACCATTAGGTCCAGTCGTGGCTGACTCTGGGGTTGCGGTGCTCATCTTGCTTTACTGGCCAAGGGAGCTGGCATACAGCTTCTGGGTCATGTGGCCAGCAAGACTAAGCCGCTTCTGGTGAACCAGAGCAGTGCACGGAAACGCTGTTTACCTTCCCGCCGGAGCGGTACCTATTTATCTACTTGCACTTTGACTTGCTTTCGAACTGCTAGGTTGGCAGGAGCAGGGACCGAGCAATGGGAGCTCACCCCGTCGCGGGGATTCAAACAGCCGACCTTCTGATCGGCAAGTCCTAGGCTCTGTGGTTTAACCCACAACGCCACCCACGTCCCTATAAAGCAGGTGTAGAGGAAGCTAAATCCGTGTAAAGGAAAGCTATAGCAGGACCCCCTGGAAAGCTCAGAGAAAGGGCTTGGATGATGCAGTGGTTAGAGTGTCAGACTAGCACTGGGGAAATCTATCCCCAGCCATCTTTTAGCTTGACTTACCTTGCTGGGTGTTTGTGAAGACAAAAAGGAGAAACACAACGTATGCTACCTTGAACTTCTTGGATAAAAGGCACGATATAAATAAATGAAGAGGAGTAATCAGAGATCAAGGGAGAGTAGGGGCAGAGGCCTTAGGGGACAGGTAGAATAATAGAATTGTAGAGCTGCAAAGAAGTCTGAGGATCCTCTAGTCCAATTCAGGAATCTCAGCTGAAGCATCCATGACGGAAGGCGATGCAACTATAGGCATCCCCAACATTTGACAAGCCTTTCACTGGCCGCAAATGAAATTACTGGGGGTTCTTTGTTCTGCCCGCAGTTCCATCCCCAAGAAAATTAATAAGCTCCAAAGCTTTTCACTCGGTGCCTGTCAAGATATTGAAAAACAGCCAACGTTGCCGAGCCAGAAAACCCCTCCCAAATAGCTTCACTTCGAAACAATTAACATCTCGAGTTTATCTTCTCTTTCAGAAAATGGCTAAAAAGGTATTTAAAGCCAACAATGCCGCATTCATCAACAAGAGCTCATCTGGACTCATCAGGAGCCTTTGCCAGTACACGTTCTTTCGGTTGATGGCAACAGTAGCAAGGCACCGAGTCCTGGGATGAGAAAGCATTCAGCAGTTCTTGCATAAAAATAGTCAATGGAAGGAGGTTGTCATTGCAAAAAGAAAAGGAATAAGCCTGGCTCCAGCAGCATTTGCCCAAAGCCTATCATTCAGTGGGTCAATGCCACCCAAGAAAGACAGGTTCTCTTTCTTCCAAAATGTTTGCGCTTGAATGTTTAGTACAAGAGAAGCAGGAGGAAGATGTTTGCATGTGTACTGGATCATACAGAAATGCCCCTGAAGTGAAAAGAGGCTGAACAAGTCAAAGTTGAGCACATTCCTGCAGCGGTGGCTCCCTTGGATGCAGTGGCACTCTCCCAGCACTGGCACTTCCCGGGAGAGAGAAAGAGCTGAAGATAAGGAATGTGCAACAGACGCATAGAGATTCCTCAATAAATAAATCTGTGTCCCCAATGTTCCTGAGCCAGGGAACAAGAATGTGCCCCTTGCAGGGCTGACTAGATCAGTTGTTGTTGTTTGTTGTTGTTTAGTCGTTTAGTCGTGTCCGACTCTTCGTGACCCCATGGACCAGAGCACTCCAGGCACCTCTGTCCTCCACTACCTCCCGCAGTTTGGTCAAACTCATGCTGGTAACCTCGAAAACACTATCCAACCATCTCGTCCTCTGTCGCCCCCTTCTCCTTCTGCCCTCCATCTTTCCCAGCATCAGTGTCTTCTCCAGGGAGTCTTCTCTTCTCATGAGGTGGCCAAAGTACTGGAGCCTCAGCTTCACGATCTGTCCTTCCACTAGATCAGTTAGTTGTGTTCAACCCTTTTAAACTCAGGATTGCTATTGTCGCACCAGCACCGGAGGAGGAAAAACTTAAACACGTAGCAGAGTTCCCCAAAAATAGACCAGAGGCCATTGTACTTCATCCAGGAGAGCTTTACTTGCTACTGAAGGCAAATGAGCATAATGGTCACAAATCCAGCACGTTCAGGATGGGCATAGTCCATAAAAATCCAGTTGCAGCACTTACAATAAAACTTACAAACATATAACAAGACTAAAGCTTAACACTAAGCATACTGTGTACAAAACACCACAACAAAGAGACAGAAAGAGAAATTAAAACCCAGGCTCCTTCCGGCCTATACAGTGGTACCTCAGGTTAAGTACTTAATTCGTTCTGGAGGTCCATACTTAACCTGAAACTGTTCTTAACCTGAAGCACCACTTTAGCTAATGGGGCCTCCTGCTGCCGCCACGCCGCCAGAGCACGGTTTCTTTTCTCATTCTGAAGCAAAGTTCTTAACCTGAAGCACTATTTCTGGGTTAGTGGAGTGTGTAACCTGAAGCGTATGTAACCCGAGGTACCACTGTATTTATAGTCAGCATGACCTTGCAGAAAGAGATAAGAGAGCCAATTCAAGCCAGCTGCACACAGCTTCTCTGAAGGTATAACCCAAACAATCATGAAGCATCTTTCACACAGAGAAGCTTCCAGAAACTTCCAGAAACCCCTTGAATGAATTAGAATAGGAAAGATATCTACACATTAGATCAATAGTTTCTGTACTAAGAAATGCAAACTGACAGCCATCTACCAAGCAAACTACACTTTTGTACCTTCAGGGTCCCATTGGGGATGATGCTGGTGTTTGTTTTGTGTTTGCTACCAGTGTTGATTGGCTGTTTGTCATGGGGTGGGCAGTGGTCCCACAGCCACTGCCAATCCAAAGCTGCCACCACGCCAACCTTGCTGGCGCATTGTCCCACCCCCCTCATATATCTCCCCTGGCACTGCTGCTGTGAGCGTGTCACTCACCCCATTCCTCTCACACTACTTCTGCATCCCATTTTTGGCTCTGACCAAAAGGGAGTGGTCTCCGACTCCCTTTTCTGATGGGTCAATGTCCCATCTTAGTTCTTCCACCCTCCGTTCTTCCACAGCCAGGAAACATGGGTGGCATTTTTGAAGATGAGGGTTTTTCAAGACCTTCCTTGTTGGAAGTCCCACAAGCAACACAGAGGGCATGGAATTATGAACAGCGCTGGCAGATTTCAGCAGAGTGTTTCAGTTGCTGTCGTGAAGGAGTCAGAATGAATAGTCCTCTCCGGTAATGAATCTAAATCAGGAATGTATGAAAAATATGTTACCTCTTTTGTCTCAAGGAAATATGCTAACTCACCACACAAGGAAAGCAAGAGACATCTGCCAACCTCCTGGGGGGGAAGAGTCATTAGCATATAAACAGGCCTAAGTCTAACGAGGACATCTTCTGAAAGGTATTATGGAAAGCAGGAAGTGTGCTGGAAGCCTATAACACACCTATCTGCATTCAAAGGGAATCTTTGAAGTTCTGCATATTAATTGAAAGGAAATTGGAAAGCTTACATCAAGGAATGCTAGGCTTTATTATATCTTGGCCACAACAACTAATTATGTAGAAATAGGAAAGTAAGCTTATTCAAAAGTATTATTGTTATTTAATTTCATAGTAATTAACAACAGGACTAGAGTTTGGTGGTGCAGCACGTGCAGGAGGCATCAAGTTTAATCCTTGCTCCTTCCAGTTCAAAAGATCTTATGGTAGTGGCCAACTAGGTTTTACTCAAAGCAGAGCCATTGAAATTAAAGAAGACAACTAAGGTTCATTGAGGTCAATGGGTTTATGCTCTCAGAAAAATTTAGTTGAATGATACCTATGGGTTGCAAAAGATAGGGGAAAGCTGCTTCTATTTGGAATAGACCATCCTTCTCCACCTGGCTCCCCTCCAAATGTTTTTGACCTCAGTGGTTGGAGACAGACAGTGTCAGAAGTAGGTCAGCAATAAATCACACTGGTGTCAGCAGAGTTAACTCTTTATTCAAGGAAACAAGGTTGACTCGGGAGGCCAAGCCTGGTGAGCACAGCAACTTGTCCTGGTAGATCTTGCTCCTAGGAGGCAGTTGTGGGGGCTGAAGGTCCCCACCTTCCCACAGTTCCCTACATCATCTCCTCCCCTGAGAGGAGTCTCAGATTCCTAAGCAATCTGAGACTTTGTTGTCGTTCCTGTCTTTGCTCCTCCCTCTTCATACAACCACACACTAAAAAACAACAACAACAAAAACCTTGATCCACCATGGTCATGCTGGCTAGGAAGAATGGGAGGTAAAGTTTGAAACAAGTGAGGACCCTAGGTTGGGAAAAGCTGGGATAAACAATGCTGCACTAAATGAGCTAGTGTAGCTTTGTGGTGAAAAACATGGAACGGCTCTGGTTTAAACTGGCCTCTTAATTGGGAGCTCAACTGATTACAGAGTAGTTAGATTGACCAAAAATATATATGATGCAATGGAAAATTAGGTTGTTTACAAGATTCTTTGGACTGAGCAGGCAATTCTGGCTTAAGGAATGCTTGCTTGATCTTCTTGGAGATAATTATAGTGAGGATAACGAGGAGTACTGATAAAATACAATGAACTGGAAGACCGTGCTTAGGGCTTGGGGTCGAAAATCATTTTGAATGTGTGTGAGAGAGCGACATCAATTGTCCTGAATGCACATTGATTAATTAATTTTATTTGTTATTATTACATTTCTATATGGTCCTTCACGGGAGGATCACAGGGCAGTTTACAATATAAAACACCAAAATACATATCATAATAACAAATAAAATCAATACCTCGCCTGCCACCCCCCAGTTTAAAAGGCTATAGATTGTTTAATTAGCCAAAGGCATGGGAGAAGAGGAATGTTTTTGCCGGGCGCTTAAAGATACATACTGAAGGCTGAGCCTCCCTAGGGAGAGCATTCCACAAATGGGGAGTCACCACAGAAAAGGCCCATTCTCATGTTGCCGCTCTCTAGAGGAGGCACACGAAGAAGGGCCTCAGGTGATGATTTCAGGGTCCAGGTTGGTTCACATGGAGAGAGATGGTTCTTGAGGTCTTGCAGTCCTGAGCCATTAAAAGCTTTACAGGTCAGAACCAGCATTTTGAATTGGGCCTGAAAACTAATTGGCAGCCAATGCAGTTGAGCCAGGATTGGCGTTATTTGCCCAAACCATCTTGCCCCGGTGAGCAACCTGGCCCCTGAATTCTGCTCCAGCCACAGTTTCCAAACTATATTCAGAGACAGCCCTGTGTGCTTGTCTAGAGGTGTTCTTTTTCCAGTCAGTAGGGCTGTGTACAGTGAGACTGTGTACACCTCATACATTTAAAGCACATTCCTTTGCCAAAGAATCCTGGGAGCTGTCGTTTGCTAAGGATGTTGGTAGTGGTAGTTCTGGGAGGGATACACTAGAATTCCCAGGATTCTTTGCAGGAAGTCATGTGCGTTAAATGTATGGTGTGAACACAGGCTGGAAGCAGCTCTCAGGCTTCCCCTTCTGTGGATGTTGGGGATTGAACCCGGGACCATTTCCATGCAATGAATGCACTCTACCATTATGCTTTGGAGGAGTGGGTGGCACTGTGGTCTAAACCACTGAGCTTCTTGGGCTTGCTGATCGGAAGGTCGGCGGTTCAAATCCCCACAATGGAGTGAGCTCCCATTGCTCTGTCCCAGCTCCTGTCAACTTAGCAGTTCGAAAGCACACCAGTGCAAGTAGATAAATGGGTACCACTGCGGTGGGAAGCTAAACAGTGTTTCCGTGCACTCTGGTTTCCGTCACGGTGTTCCATTGCATCAGAAGCGGCTTATTCATGCTGGCCACATGTCCTGGAAAGCTGTCTGTGGACAAATGCCGGCTCCCTCGGCCTGAAAGCAAGATGAGCACCACAACACCATAGTCACCTTTGACTGGACTTAACCATCTAGAAGTCCTTTACCTTTTTACTATTATGCTATGGCTCTTTCCATCCTCTTATATAGCCATCTCCCCATTTTGCCCCAACCAACACCTGGTACTCTGATCTACAGGTATGCAGCCCCTGGGTAGGGAGATTCCATTCAAGGGTGGCACCTCATAGCTTGTGCAACAGGCAAACGGTATGATCCAGGTTGTGTATTTATGTCTGTTTAGCCTGATGCTGCTGATACCATGTAGTCATTTTACAGAAAAGAAAAACACCCAGGCTCTTGCATATGATTTAAGTGACCGGCACCAATCTGGCCTTTTTATTATGCCGAAGCCAGGTTTCTCCCCTGCAACTAGTGATAGTGCTGCTGGAAGGCAGAAGAGAAAGAAGTGATTGTAATCATCATCATTATTTTTTTAAGTAGACCCAGAGGACAAGAATAGTCATGTAACTCTGAAATTGCTGTTTACCAGGGAATGGAAAGTAAAACAATGCAAGGAATGCTGAAAGCATAAAAAATATGTGTGGCCTGATCCGCTTCTCATAGCCTGAACAAAAGAAAGACTCTGGATGGCTCCGAGAGTGGCCACTTACACACCATACATTTAAAGAGCACGTGAAACCTGAGGTGCCAAGCATTCACCCACCTCATATACAAAAGGTGTAATAATGGTGAACTACTCTCGGTGTTCGTAGCTCTCTTCCAGGTGTGGCTACTTTTTGGTTCATGC